CTAGCAAGTAACTTAGTAAAAAGTGCCTCCTGCCTTCTAAAAGGGAAGCATATCATTCTGAAAGAGGAGTTTATGAACTAGAAAAAAGTGCTTTTAAGTTTCAAAGTTTTAGAGGCACTTGTAATAAAGTAATTGAAATGATAAAAGATGCTTGTCCAAATAAAAAGGGTAACTTTTTGGCTAAATTAGAATTTCTCTACACTCCATTGAAACTGTAATTTCAACACTAGTATCTCCATAAAAGGAAGCAATGCGACCAGCACTACTTGGTAATCCAAGGATTGTTCATGCCTATCTAATCAACCAAAAAGTAAAAACAAAATATGGTATGACCTCTAGAATTAAGTGCTAATCAGCCATAAATCTATAACTATTCAAAGTTACTGGATGGCAAACCTCAGGAAGGAGCAGGCAGTCAGCAGGGTTTACTGTACTTTCCACTTTCATATTTTAATGATTTTGTAACACTATAGAACCTGGGCCCTCATCCTGGCAGGGTTTGTTCATTATTTCTCAGTTGTAACAGTTTCAGAAATCTGACCTTGAAACTCTCAACCTAACCATTCACTCTTTGTAGACAAAATTTATGAAATAAAATATACTATCCAGACTAGAAAAGTAGGAAATGCCAACATTCTCATCCCAGTGCCACTGTGCCCCCAGGAATCACTAGCACAGTTTTTGTGGGAAGACAGAGCCTTTTTATGGGCTCCTGCTCCCTGTAGCCCACTCTGCTTTGCTGCCCACTTAATTCTGGTTGTCACCCTGACTTCTCTTCACCTTCCTTTCAAACATGCATTCAAGTTTTAAAAATTAGTTACAAAAATATATGTGTATCATCTTTTTTGGCCTTGCAACAAACTGAGGAAGAAATGAAATGTTTACATATGTAACGAGTGTATTGTAAAGCTACCCTTGTTAATAAGTACTCCGAAGGTGAATAGCAGCAGTGCTTATTAATCAAACTAAAAAATAATCCAAGCACTCTGCCTGTAGGTTCCCTTATGAGATGGTTACCAGAGAAAGATAAATTTTGCTGTGTTCCTACCTGATCAATGTGTATCTTCTGGGCATGAAGAGAAACATAACCAACACAAACAAAGCTATAACTCTGTCCTCATTCTTACTGTACTTGCCAAAAATGTATATGGATAATTCATGGATTTTGTATTGGAAAGTAAAGCTAGTGGATATTTTTAAGATGAGCCTTTTGATAAATGAGGCTCAGTAGAGTTTCTAGAATAGACTATTTTTTTCCTTGTTTGAACTAAAGAAAGTACAAAACCTGCCTAAAGTTAAGCACACCTCTATAGAAAGGGTTTAATTAATATTTTTAAAAATAATTTGATTGTCTCAGTGAACTTTATTTGTTAAAATAGCAGTT